AGAAGATTATGTTCTTCTTAGAAAGCGAACTCGAAGGACAAAGAAAAACATAACAAAAATGTTCTGTACGAATAGCTCGCTTCTCAATGTACAATAATTCTTTGATTCAGATTCGCTTTTGCAGAAGGACAAGATTCCTGGATACAAGGAACCTACAATACATTACTGATGGTACATCCTGTTTACTGTTATCAATCTTAGCACTTGTGCTTCTCATTCCTTCGTTTCTTTTTCTCTTTCTGTTCTTCTCCTTCGAGCGTATGGTTTATCTTTGGTGTCATTTTCTCGACAAGGCAAAAACAAATGATTGTGTCCAGTCTTCTAACATTTTCCTTCTCTATATTATCCAAAGTCGACTCAGATAAAATGTGTACACCTTATAGGCACTATTGACTATTCAACAATAGTGAAAACGTAGCTCAACTGATATTTCATCACTACTAATTTGCGGTTATCACATGAGCGCATCGTTTGATTTTCGAGCTGTGCTACTCAAAATACAAGATCTTCTATCGGATAACGATCGGCAACGACTGCATTTTCTTCTTGGTGAAGATGTTCCGAGACATTTGCGCGATGATCCATCATTTACTGGAACACTTCGTGTACTCGAATCTCTTTTCGAAAAAGCAATTATTAACGATCAAGATTGTGACTATCTCATTGAAGCATTCGAGAAAATTCAATGTCATGACGCGGCTAAACGTCTGAAAGGCAGGTTCTTGCTGATTTTTGCGATTTTTATTTGATGACCTGTATATGTCTTTCAGAGTACCAAAGAGCTCGGCAAAAAAGCGACCAACGAAGTTTCTCACTTCAAGATATTCTTTTGCAAGACAATGAAGAGGATAAGATTGGTTCGGCGAGTTCGTAGAAATAGAAGACTATACTTTGCGTACAGTTACAAATTTCTTTTTCAGGGTTTATGTCTGACATATCTGATCCAATCTCTACTCTCCAATACTCATCTTTGACTGAAGACATTACCCTCAAAAGTAACGAAATAATTTCATCACTATCTGCGGATAACAGAACGAAAGAGTATACTCATACATCTCGATGGATGTACCGGATACTCAAACGACCATTTAATATTCGTGAATGCATTCTATTAATCTTCACTATTTTGGCTCTGTTAGCTCTTCCACTAGCCATCAAGTTGTCGAGAAAATCTACTCCATGCACCATGACGACGACACAAAGTAAATTATAGCCACCATAATGATGTGCTATACGGTGATATATTCAGATTTCTTTTCGCTTATATCCTTCATTTTTTTTGCTGCTAAAATCGGGGTCAGTAGAGTGACAGACGCAAAAGAAGGGAT